CACTTGACAAGTGTACCAAACTTGCTTCTACTCCATATCTTCTTATTGTTCTCATTTAAATATAAAATTGCATCTTCACATACACTTGCAATTTCGTTTAACAATCTATCATGCTTACTAACAAAGTAGGTCTTTGCAACACCCCATAGCTTGGTCATGAAATAATTACCTCGATAATGTTCTTGAAGTTGCTATATAAATGTCTTATGCATTCGCGATGCTCAACATTAGGATAAACCTGTGTAATAGCTACTTCCAAACCTTTTTGCATGTCAGAGGAGATGACAAGACCGTCTGGTGTACCGATTCATCAATAACTTGATCTTGGCCACTAAACGATTTATACATTTGTTGTGTAATTTTTTCAGTCGTCGCATAAATTATTACTTCTTTCTCCTCCTCATACATGTTAAGCATCACCATGAAGTTTTCATCAGAATCAAGTTTAATAAAACGTTGCTCTTTTGAATGTTTGTCAATAAAGACTATTGACAACACAATATCGTTTTGTGATGGATAATGTTTTTCCACCTCTTCAACCAGTTGATTCAAGTTGTATGAGCAAAAATGTCTATATAGAGAGTTTTTCTAAAACCGAAACAATACACTTGCCTACATGAGTTTCTAGCAAACCGAAAAAAGCCTCCATATTTCAGTTTAAGCTTGTATTTCCATGTTACTTGCCTGATAACCACATAACCACAGAGAAAAAAAACAGGTAATGAAATATACAGGAAACATAAAATATTAACCATCTTGTAGGTAAAACAAATTTGATCCTTAGAATTATTGTAGAAGCGTACTTAATTATCGGGGAGTGACCACCTATCTCCCATCTCGGTGTATCTACTTCATCATCCATCAAAATTAATCCAATGCAGTTACAGAAACAGGTGGAGACTAAATTCTATTTTGTGAATCAAAATTAATCCAATGTAGATACATAATTGATCGAATCTGAAGTTAATCTAGTGCAAAATAAATTACTTCAAATAATTTGACAAATATGAGTTGTTGTGAAAAAGAAGAAGCAGCGATAGCAATATATGGAGAAGAAATTCTGTTTTGTGAACCAAAGTTAATCCAATGCAATACACAATTGATCAAATGCAAAGTTAATCTAATCAGAAGATTACCCGTTGTGATGAAGATGTGAAACTGAGTTGTGATAAAGATGCGAAAATCACTAGGTATGGAGACAGAGTACGTGATCAAGAAGATGATAAATTGATTGCGCCGATTTAATGGAAGGATACGTAATCTAATATGTCCAGCGATTTAATTTGGGATTTAATTAAGAAATGGTATATTGGTAAACTAATATATAATTCTGAATATTATATAAATAGTTTATTAAAAAAATGATATAATTATAATTAAAAATGGATTTGGATATAGATGTAATTTTTATATTTTTAAAAGGATATACACGTAATATTGAAGTTTATAAGGATATAGAAGTAATATTTATTGTTTAGAAGGATAAAATGTAAAATTCCCTTTATTATAAGGCGAATAGATGAAGGATGATGTGAATACTCAAAAATTGGTGATGACTGTAAATATAAATCTTGGTCTCTTATTAATGAAAATTGATGATTGATTAGTAAGTAATAAATAAATAAGTCTAAAAAACGATGAGGGATTTATGTAATTATCAGAAAACAAAAGGGGCCATTTTTGTAAATTTTAAGGGTACAAATGTAATTGACAAAGAAAAACACTTAGGTGTTGTTTGTTTTTTAAGCAAAAATTTATTAAGTCTGCGGACCACCTCTGCAACCCTCTACAGTAGAAGAGATAGACCAAATGGCTCCAGACTATAAAAAGAAGCGTGTTTGTTTTTTTAAAATCTGCATGTTGCTGCAGTTATTAAAAAATTAAAATAAACTGATTTTATAAACTGAAATAGTTTTTTAATACCGAAAAATTAATAATGTATGACATTTCAGTAAGAATTTATTATATTTCAGCAAGAAATAATGATATTTCAACAAAAAATAATGATATTTTAGCAAAAAAATAATGATATTTCATCAAGAAATTATCATTATTCAATATAAAAAAATTGAAAAAAAATAATTCAACAAGAAAAAACAAAAAAAAAGTAAAATAAGTTTTCAGCAACATATAATCAAGATTTCAGCAAAAAAAAAAGAAGAAAAAGAGGTTGTAAGAGGCTGGAATAGGTAATACAAGTGTTGCGCCAACCAGAACACGTGCAGCTGGTTTTTACTCTGAAGACTTCTAAAAAAACAAACAGCTGCAAGATTAAAAGTGTTGCGTGTGTGCTGCGTCGCGCAACAATAAGAGATTTGAAGAGGTTTTTCACAAAAAAAAAACACCACCTTAGCATCGAGAAAATGCGGCTTACGCACCACAATCCCCTCTAAGGACACGTGTCGTCACCAAGTAAACTGAGTTTCTTTTTCACATATTCTCAATGCCACTAACGTTTTTTGTTTGCAAAAAATATGATTAAATCAAAGTTTTTTTGTAAAAAAATGAGGATAGTCATATATATATATAATATATTATATATATATATATATATATATATATATATCGGTTTTTAGTTTTATAAAATATTTTCCAAAAATTATATAAATTTAAAGAATACTTCTACACACTATACTTAGTGACTTTATAAAAAGAAACTTAAAAAAAAAATTGAAGTGCTCATATTTATATTTTAAGAAATATTAGTTTGTTAAGGATACTCACATTTTGTTTAAATGATTATCAGTTTTTATTACAAAAAAGATGTGAAACTTTTCGCATATTCTCAATGCCACTAACGTTTTTTTTTGCAAAAAATATGATTAAATCAAAGTTTTTTTGTAAAAAAATGAGGAGAGTCATATATATATTATATATATAGAATAATATATATATATATATATATATATATATATATATATATATATATATATTCTATATAGATATATCATATATATAGATCGGTTTTTAGTTTTATAAAAATTTTCCAAAATTATATAAATTTAAAGAATACTTCTACACACTATACTTAGTGACTTTATAAAAAGAAACTAAAAAAAAAATTGAAGGCTCATATTATATTTTAAGAAATATTAGTTTGTTAAGGATACTCACATTTTGTTTAAATGATTATCAGTTTTTATTACAAAAAAGATGTGAAACTTTTCGCTCTTCAAATTAAAAAAAATAATAATAATTTTAATGGTTTACAATATATATATATATCATATATTACGAAAATTTTGAATTTAAATTTTAAAAAAGTAAGTTTGTTTTGTTACAAAACTTTATTTTAAAAGATTACAAACTTTGAAAAAAATCGAATATAATATTATCCAAAATAAGATGATTCAAATTATTTTTTATTTAAAAAAGTTATAATTCAACATATTTGTGATCCTTAATTACATAATTTATGATTTAAAACTAAATGATTCATAAAAATATAATAATCTTAAATTTGTTACGACCAAAAACTTTTTTTATTTTAATATATTATGATCCAAAATCATATGATTAAAAGATATTATAATACAAAATACTATGATTCAAAATCATATGATTTAAAATTTAATGCTCCAAAATTATATCATCCAAATATAGTATGATATGAAAATATAATGACTTTTAATATCTTGTGATTCGAAACGTTTATGATTTTTAAACATCAAAAACTCAAACAAATATTTAGTTTAAAAAAAGTAAAAAAAAAAAATCAAAAGAATAAAACAAAAACAAAAAAACACAAATAATTTTAAAGATATACTATAAGGTTATAGGGAATGGTAGCATGTAATAACATGTGTTAAAATATTGTCGTATCATGTTTTTATAGACATGTAAGCAGAACATGATGATATGGAGTGGTGATATGGTTAAAGGGTAAGCATTTTTGTTAAAATCAAATAATTTTTTATTTGACTATTTAAATAAAATAAATTATAAAAAAGGTACAAGTTGTTAAAGTTCAAGTTACAAACATCTAAAGCATAATTAATCTAATGGGACCACTTGCTTTCTCTTTCCTCTCGTCAACCAAATAGCGAGACAATTCTAACACATGTCCTTAGTGAGCCAACAAGGAGTGGTAACAAGATTTAGTGAGCCAACAAGGAGTGGTAACAAGATTTTAACGAGGGCTTAGCGAAGGGAGGTGGCGAGCCACTCCCTTCAGCCTAAGGCCATATGGAGTGGTATGAGTTTCTGACCGTATGGTGACATGGAATGTAAGTCATGCATGAGTTTGGGGGAACACCACCCATGCATGGTGGTGGTGTGAGTTCAAGTGGCAAACACAATTTCTCACCAAAAATTAGCATGTAGTGAAAGGGTATTTAGCTGACGTGGCATGTTGCTCTGCAAGGTAAGTTCGAGATGCACTCCATATAGCCTAAACATTAAAAAACAAAAAACAATAAATAAATAAATAAATAATCTAGTATGTTTATATTTATTTAAAAAAACGAATTAAAGAAAAAAAAAACTCACTTGAACGACGTCCATAAACGTTCGTCGCATATGATTATATCCTCGAGATTGTATTACGTTCCTTGAACATGTGTTGCATTCAAACGTCTTACTTTCAAGTATGTCCAACCATCGATCATAGACCTTCTTTTGGTATAATTCTTCATTGTTTGTTTTGTTTGAAATCAAAATGAAAGAAGAAGAACAAATACCAAAGGTCTTTGGTCTACAAGTCCCATTTAAGATAAGATGAAAGTTATAGATTTAAAAAAAGTGTAGTTGTGTATGTGTAAGCCGCATTTAAAAAACACATAAATCATCTAATTTACTTTGGTTAATTATAAACGTAATGTCAACACTGTACGAAGATAATATGATAAAAAGAATGCGAACTCGATAACCATAACTTCAATTATTAAAAGGATAAATTAGTAAATTTCGATCATCATTATAACATAAAACATACATATAGGACCCTATATAAATATGTAATTCTTCACATATCTCATGCACGCTCAAACTACAAGAGTACTATGGCATCCTTTGCACCATCACAAGCCACCTCTTCCACGAGTGGAAGGAGGTTCACTTTCTCATCCACCTACTCTTCTTCCTTCTCTTTTAAGTCATCTCAAGTTCCCATAGCCAGAATCTCCAAACATCGCCATGCAGTTTCATGCAAAACCCTAGATGATGATCACCACCACCATACAAACTCCAGCAAACTTGATAGGAGAAACGTCCTTTTAGGCCTTGGAGGTCTTTATGGTACTGCTGCCAACTTTGGGTCTAATTCACTGGCCTTTGCAGATCCGATCATGGGACCCGACCTTAGTCAATGTGGTCCAGCTGACTTACCCCAAGGGGCTGTACCTACAAACTGTTGCCCTCCATACAACACAAAGATTATCGATTTCAAACTTCCACCACAGTCAAACCCCCTCCGTGTTCGACCAGCTGCACATTTGGTTGATAAAGACTACATAGACAAATTCAGTAAAGCTATCGAACTCATGAAAGCTCTCCCAGATGACGATCCTCGTAGTTTCAAGCAACAAGCTAATGTTCACTGTGCCTATTGTGATGCCGCGTATGTCCAACTCGGTTATCCAGATGTGGAGCTTCAAGTACATTACTCATGGCTGTTCTTCCCTTTCCATCGTTATTACCTATACTTCTTCGAGAAAATTTGTGGCAAATTAATTGATGACCCAACTTTTGCACTTCCATTTTGGAACTGGGATGCGCCAGTGGGATGAAAATCCCTGATATTTACACAGATAAGAATTCTCCGTTATACGATTCTCTTCGCGATGCGAAACATCAACCACCGACTGTGGTTGATCTTGACTTCAATGGTGTCGACAACAATCTTAGCCCCTCTGAACAAACGTCCACAAATCTCACAATTATGTATAGACAAATGGTGTCTAATGCCAAGACTGCTAGTCTTTTCATGGGTAGTCCTTATCGTGCAGGTGATGACCCTAGCCCTGGTGCTGGCTCACTCGAGAGCGTGCCACATAACCCGGTTCATATCTGGACCGGTGATAGGAACCAGCCAAATGGTGAAGACATGGGTAACTTTTATTCTGCAGGCAAAGACCCAATTTTTTTTGCACATCATGGGAATCTCGATAGATTGTGGTCAGTTTGGAAAACACTAGGTGGAAGAAGGAAGGATTTTACTGATAATGACTGGCTTGATTCTTCATTCTTGTTTTACGATGAGAACGCTGAGTTGACACGAGTCAAGGTGAGGGATTGTGTCGACTCCAAGAATATGAATTACGTGTATCAAGATGTTGAGTTACCATGGTTAGAAAGCAAACCTGTTCCACGACTGCAAAGGGCTTCCAGAAACATCAAGAAGCGCGCCCATGAACGCATACCCTTTGCAAAAGATGTTTTTCCGGCGAGTCTTGATAAGGTGATCAAAGTGCTGGTTCCAAGGCCAAAGAAATCAAGGACCAAGAAACACAAAGAGGAGGAAGAAGAGATTTTGGTTATCGAAGGGATTGAAGTGAAGAGAGATGAGTTTGTGAAGTTTGATGTGTTGGTGAACGATGAAGATGATGGGACCCGGGCCACAGCGGCTAAAACGGAGTTCGCCGGAAGTTTTGTGAGTGTCCCTCATATGCATAAGCATGAGAAGAATGGGAAGACGAGATTGAGGTTAGGGATAACTGATCTTTTGGAGGATTTGAAGGCTGAAGATGATGACAATGTGTTGGTGACATTGGTGCCCAAAACTAGTGGTGGTGATATTTCCATTGGAGGGATCAAAATCGAGCATGAAGAATAATAAACAGACGTTCTCACTTTCTATAAAATAAAATAAAAGAACGTCTATGATCTATTAAGATATTATGTTTCTCTATATCTATTAACACCATATAAAAGTAATTTTCGCAATCAAATATATGATTCAAACTTATGAATGTTAATTGCAAGTCAGAGAATCTAGTTCTGCGTTTGTTTAATCTCAAATTAAATTTCGCTACTAGAAGTAGACCGAAATTTCTGTTGAAAATCTGTCGCTGTTGGCCAATAAGGCAGATCAGCAAAATCAATCCCTAGTAAAACATAGGTGGCTGAAACATAGTAACAGAATCAGCGAAGGATTTTCTTAATTAGAAACGTCTTTAGCTACCTTCAGTCGCAAAAGAGATTAAAAAACTAGAACATTCCGTTGTTGATAACTGTCATTATTTGGTCACTAATGCAAAATTAGCGACATATTTTTTTTTTGTTGTCATTTGTACATTGTTAATTAGTTGCAGTCTATTCTATGTCAAATCATTGCAGTTCTATAACCAAGTATCAAAGTGAAATTATATATTCCAAAACCAAAATTCACAAAATCATTTATCACGTTCCAAAACAAAAACTACCAAAACTAAATATTTATATGACAAAATTACAAAAATGGTCCCTGTGGTTTACCAAAAGTAACAAAATTAGTCCCTGCTAATTTTTTTTATGCAAATAGCCCCTGTGGTTTGCAAAACTTGCATAGATGGCCCTTTTTACTAACGCCGTTACTATTCTGCCGTTATGGACTGAATCTGTAAGGGCATTTTCGTCTTTTCAAGTATAAAGGGACTGAATTCGTGACATTTACTAAACCATAGCGACCATTTTTGAAATTTCTTAGAAAAAAACAATTAAATTGCTAGGGGAAGGGCTCAAACTCATGACCTCCACCCCTTAAATTACCAAAGCCTTAACCAATTGAGCTGAATGCTCTCTTGGTTTTTTTTTCCTAAAACTAATTTATATATTAACAAAATCGTTAAAACATAAACAATAAATAAAATATAAAAAACATTTTTTTACATAATTTTTTTTTAAATAAAACAAAATGTATTTTAGTCGTACTATAAAAAAATAGTTTTTTACAAACAAATTGTATGTATATTTTGATGTATTTATTTTACGTAAAATATATATTTTGTCTTTAAAAATACGTTTTTCGTATAAAAAATACGTCTTCTGTAAAAAATGTTTTTTTATGTCTTTGAAATAGTAATAATTAACACTACTCAGGACATAAAAAAATGTATAAATTCTTTTGGGTCGTTAGTTCTAAAACCGTTGTTAATTTGTTTTTAATACATATAACCGAAAAAACGGTTAGAACTAGCGACCCAAAAGAATTTATACATTTTTTATGTCATGAGTAGTGTTAATTATTACTATTTCAAAGACATAAAAACATTTTTACAAAAACGTATTTTTTATACGAAAACGTATTTTTTAAAGACAAAAAATATATATTTTACGTAAAATAAATACATAAAAATACATACAACTTGTTTGTAAAAAACTATTTTTTTTATAGTACGACTAAAATACATTTTGTTTTATTTAAAAAAAATTATGTAAAAAAAAGTTTTTTATAATTTATTTATTGTTTATGTTTTAACGATTTTGCTAATATATAAATTAGTTTTAAGAAAGTATAAACCAAGAGAGCATTCAGCTCAATTGGTTAAGGCTTTGGTAATTTAAGGGGTGGAGTTCATGAGTCCGAGCACTCCCCCTAGCAATTTAATTGTTTGTTTCAAAGAAATTTCAAAAATGGTGTCTGTGGTTTAGTAAATGTCACGAATTCAGTCCCTTTATACTTGAAAATACGAAAATGCACTTACAGATTCAGTCCCTAACCGCAGAATAGTAACGGCGTTAGTAAAAAGGGCCATCTATGCAAGTTTTGCAAACCACAGGGGCCATTTGCATCAAAAACAAATTAGCAGGGACTGACTTTGTTACTTTTGGCAAACCACAGGGATCATTGTTGTAATTTTGTCTATTTATATTTAATTTCAAAGTATCGAAAATCAAATGACATGTTAAAAGTATCAAAAGTCGGTGGGTTGGTAAAAGTGTCAATGTCTTACGTAGGTGTAGGTGGGTTGCTTTTTTGGCAAACTTTCCGTATTTTGTTATACATCTTATCCTTTCTTGTCTTTTGGCCTCAGTTTCTTTACAATAAACTGCAGATATGAAAACAAAAGAATAAGCAAATTATAGATGTCAAAGGATATAATATTAATAATAAGGTAAATTTTTAGAAGTTTGATGCCTAACGAGGAGAAAAGTTGGAAGTTAAACTTGTAATACAGACAAATTAAAGTTGTTATAAAAATGAAAGTAGGGTGCTATAATAGAATTATATTTACACCAAGTTCAAAGTGCGACGCTTGTAATGGGAAAAAAGTAAAAATGTATGCAAAACAAACCAATGGAAGTGCATCAATCAAATAAACTTGAGTTCTACCTTATGTACACATATCAAATGACAGTTTATGGTGCCAATCTACAGCTAATTAGCACCGGATGCACAAGTGACTAAGAAAATTTTTGTATTAATGGTTTTAATCGTAAGTTGTAAGAAATATTTATATGAAAGCATATTGAATTTTTTAAAAGGTAGAAATACCTGATGAAGGAAATCTGCCATGGATATAAATAATGCCTTATGAAATTCAGAACCCTTTGAAATATTACAATAACAGATAATTCAAGCCTAGTATATGATATAAAAAGCATGTTTAGACAATAGGATAAGAGTTGAGTGTAAAAGAAAATCCATATGAATGAGCAAAAATACTTGTATATTCTAAACGTGAGTCACAAATGCCTCATAGAGGACAGTTGCAGCAGAAAGAAACATCTCCCCCCTCTAAATCACTGGTTGGAATTTTTACATAAATACAGAAGAAAGCCAGACATGCCACTCGATAGCCAAGACCCAACAAGAACAAAAGGGCAACATCCCCTGGACGAAGAAAAACACTAAGGTTTGACAAGAATACAGTAACCAACTAACCATAACAAACACCAAATTAAGGAGCTAGTTAGAGAAACCTAACCATTTCGATTTCAAACGACCAAAATATTTCCATTTGGCTAAAAACACAATTCTTGATCGTAAAGGAAAGAGGGTCGGAATACTACATGAGTGCGAGCAGTAGCATCAAAGATGATAATGAGGGTCCAAATCTGGAGTAAGGCAACTGTATGTCACGGTCGCCGGATGCATAGAACCCACCAAGATATTAGGGTAAAAATGTTTGTCGATTGGGATGCAAAGTAGGTTTCCGGTATGAAGAATGATAGTGGGTGGGAGGATGAATTTTCGCAAATCGGAAGGAACGAAAAAATTGGTCGATTAGGCTACAAAAGGTTTTGAGTTTGAAGAGGGAAACTGAGTGAGAGGCCTGAATTCATAGCAAATATTAAAGACAAAATTGCAACTTTGGTCTTGAATTGGATGTTTTAATCAAAAATGTTTTGAATTTCAGTTGCTCCAAAAAGTTTCATTTGGTACGAAGCAGTTATTTTATTCATAATTCATATATTATATTGGTTAATTTAAAAAAAAATTAAATATTAAATTCTAAACATTTAAGAAATTTGAATTTATAAGGAAAATTATAAAAATATTAAATTATTAAAATTAAAGTGTTTTTTTTCTTAAATTTAAACAAATAATGTAGATAAATAAATAAAAGAAACTAATGAGACTTTAATTTAAAAATTTTGAAATTAGAAGGAAAGTCAATTAATAAAATTGATATACATTTATTATTACATTTATTGCAATTATTATATTTAAATATTATATGAAATTTAATAAAATGAAAAAAAACAAAAAAATGTCATGTGGAAAAAATTTAATTAAAAATAACCACAAAATGACATGTGGCCAAATCAATAAGAATATGACATTTGCCAAAAAAAATTCATTTATTAGAGTAGGATTTAGTCTAAAATTATTTCAAAACATTTAAATGACGAATTCGCCATTTTAATTTATTTTTTTACAATAATTATAAAGAAAATACTTTTCTTTCTTTCTATTTGTGTGTGTATGTGTGTTTGATAAACACCCACGAACATATTCATAGATTTAACAACACTTAAGAACATCTTCCGCCACCACCACCGTCCGCCACCACCACAGTCTGGCACCACCACCGTCTGCCAACTCCATCTCCACCTAAAGTTGTCACTTCATCTTCGCCAAAAAATCATCCCATAAACAAAAAACCATACACAAAATAAGAGTTGTAACACCCGTCTTCCAAAATGAACCAGTGTAGGGAATAAAGGGGTTTAAGGCATAGTTTTGGGAAAAAACCATATGTCACGAAGTGACCATAGCGAGGTCACGACGTGACGTGCCAAGTATGAGAATGTGAATCCGGAAGAATGTCATGACGTGACAAGAGTATGGCCATGACGTGACTATAGCCCAAGTCTATTATCTTTTAGGGTTTCCTCTGTTTTAAGCCTCTAACCTCAAATTTAGGGTTTCATTTCCAACCTTCATCATCCTCTATAACCTTGAAGCAAAGCCTAATACCCTCATCTTCATTTGTGATCTTATTCTTAGTGTTTTTGGTGCTCTTGGAAGGAAGAAGAAGGCCCTTCTGGCGTAGAGAACCTCTTGGCAAGCATGAAGTTTCCATTTGAGCCATTTTTGGACCATTGTCAGTGTTCAGGATCCAAACTGTAACACTCGATATTCACCAATGTATTATTTATGTGTTAGATTAATTATTTTATATTGATTGGGCTTGGGTCCATTGGATCCTTCCAAAATGGGCTTAAGGGGTGCCGTACGCTGGGCGTACCACCCTATGTACGCGCAACGTACTAATGAAAGTTGATCGTGCATGTGATGCACGTACGCGCAACGTACTGAAGAGTACGCGCATTGTACGTGTGCAGTCCCCAAAACCCTAAGTTCAGGGTTTGATCCATATATAATGAACATTATGCCCTAAATTCCAG